AGGGAGGAGCCCCCCCGCCACGGCGTCTCCGAGGTTCCTCCCACCGCCCCTTGTGCCTGACCCTCCCAACAATTCGACGACTTTTCCTATTTAATCTTCACTATATATATATATATATATATATATATATATATATGATCTGCCGATTGTCTAATTTCCAAGGGTTGTTTGTGTTTTTTTTTTGTTTGCCCTTGCTTGTTGAGTTAGAAGTTTCAATAGCTTAATTAGGTCTTTTTTCCCACCATGGAGGAGGATGTAATCAATAAGGAGACTGATCTTTGTAATAAAGCTTCTTAGTTATAACATTAGCGAATAACGAAGTTTATATTTCTCTCTCTCTCTCTATATATATATATACGTCATGCATTTATATCTTCATAAATAAATGTTTTTTTTTTCTGTGGAGAATTGCGGACTAATGTTTATGTGATTATAAACCAAACAATCTGCATAGAATCACCGTAAAATCTCCATAATTATCAATAATTTTTGTTCACATTTTGCTGTCGAGATGTAAACTTGTTGTACCTAAATTATCCGGTGTCTCTGACGAATTACTTTGGTTTCATTAATTCCGATTGTTTTTTTTTTTTGCAGTTTCCAATTCCATAACGTATAAGTTTTAAACATTAATTCATCATAAAAATGTTAGTGATAAACATCAAGTTTGACAACATATGTTTTTAGAGCGCAAAGTGTCGCAAGTTCTTTTTTTTTTTGGTTGAGAAAAGAGTATTGACACTCATACATCACCGAAATCATGTGTTCGAACTTATTTTCAGTAGATGATATATGGACATGAATTCAAATAATTCGACCACTAATTTTTATTCAAAATTTTTGCACCCATCGACCGCATTTTTTTGATGAATTCTATTTTTGTTTCAGTTTTAGGGTAACATTTGAATTACAAACTTGTAAAGGGGTGCTGAAAGTCCACTTTTTTTTTTTTTTTTTTTGAGGGATAAAACGAGAGAGGGAATAATAATATAATGGAAGGAAGAAAGGACCACCAGAGGAATTGCATGGAAGTAACGTAGAATCCAACGTTATAGACCCAAACGACCTTTCGGTTCCCGAGACGTGGACCAGGCTTGTGGGCCGCTATCGTCTCGTACTTGTATGCATACAAATTTATGCACATATTTGTATATAAAATATGAATGTTGACATTTTTTCAATATTCTCTTGATTAATTGTATGCCGTGTATACACCGAATTTATACTGTAAGCATGTAATCTTTCTGGGTGTTGGATGTTGAAATTATGACTCGAAACATACCAAAAAAAAAAAAAATCTAGAAAGGACAAATGTAGAATAAACAAGCGTTAGAAATAATATCGTATTAACAAAATGAATTGTCAAGTACGGAATGTAGTCCATTTTTAAACGTATGAAACCGATTAGAAACATAAGTAGAGAACATGTCCAGCGTATTCACATAATCTTCGATATAGAAATGTCCATTCTTCTTTTAGATAAATTCAATAATTTATTTTTCTAAAAAAGGGTAACAATATATGATAATTTGTTGCATAAAACGCAGATTACGTACGGACCATGCAAAAATATTAAACCGGCTTAGCGTAGCCCACGATTATGACGTTGTTCAATCTAACCCATGGCAGTTAGACGAGTGTCCAAACAATGTCTGTTAGTGCACCCATATGTCTAATACAAACGTCTCAATTATTACACATATACATGTATGCATAGTGCCCGTGGCACCATGATTGTTGGTTCTTGTGGAAAATGGGGTCCAAGCCATCAAAGATGACGTTGTTGTTGGTTTTTAAAAATCATTATCCATGACTAAAACACCTTCCTTCTTGTAATATTTTTTTTCCTGTTATAAAGGTGGTGCATATGCTCACAAAGTCTACTCTCTCCCTCTATGTGTGTGTATATATATATATGTATATGTATATGTATATGTATTAGATGACACACACACCCCTTTTTGCTTTTGTTTTGAAGATTTATGGTAACTTTTTTCGCCCCATGGTTAATCTTCCTTGTATTTAAGGAAAATGCTATATCCACAAGAATTATGCCAATTTCATATACAGGAACATGCACCAAGTAGTAGATATTAGAAAAATATCATGCCAAAAATAAATTATAGAGATTGGAAAATACATCCAACAGCTATATATGTGGGGGTATTGAATTTAAATGATTGTGGCAAACATAATCGATTTTTGTGGTCAATATAGGGACTCAATGCGACATAAACAAATTAGTGTGAGACAGCGTCAAAAAAATCAAATCGCACGACGGAACAACAGCGGTCAAGTGCCCATATAATGTATCTATATATACTTCGCCAAAAAAATAATACAATAAAAAAAACACCTTCACGATAAAAAAAATATATCCCATTTTCTTTTTTTATTTTGCCAATTATATGTCTGGATCGTATTATTACGCTGACGACGAATGAAATCATAAATTTTTTGGTTCTCGTATTGCATAATATTCAAAGAAGTATTCATTTCAAGAATTATTAAAATTAAATAATATTAATAAATAACAAAATTTGAAATGATCCAATAGATCGTGAACGAATGGTCAAGTTTGGGATAGGAGGTAACTCCACCTTGAGGTTGAGTGTTCGATTTTTGGCTTGTGGGAAAAGAGTTAATTTATGGGTTTATATGATCTATATACAAAGGTTGCTTCTGGACTGGAGATTTACCTATTCAGCGCGTCCGAAGGGTAGCAGCCGTTATAAAAAAAAACAAAATTCGAAATGATCTGTTTTCAGCTCAACCGGGCCCAAAGAGAAAAAAGGCTGAATTGCATTTAAGATTGGCCCATTATTAAAAGCCCGATAAATTTAATGGGCTGGGCCCAAAATCGAAATCTTGATCAAGGGGACACCGCCTGCGGCGCTGCTTCTGCACCATCTGCCTTTAAAGAGAGTTTCTGTTTTTCTCTTTCCAATTTCAGGGTTTGCTTGAATTGGAGAAGAAAGGTATCAGCCTTCTCCTGCGATTGGGGTTTTCGCCGACCCGGTAGTTGAAGCTGTTCGATCGGTCCAAGTGTTGGAATTTCTGGGTTCTCTGTGAAATTTTGTGAGATCGATCTGTTTTAGTGTCGCGAAGATGGCTCCAGCTCCCGATCCTAACAACGTTGGCGGTGGTGTGGAGCGGGATGAAGCTACGTTGAAGGTTCCATCAAAGGATCCCAAGAAGAAGGAAGAAAAGAAGGAGGAGGACCTGGTGAGTTTTCTTCTGTTGGTTTTGGTTTTCTTTTCGGAAATGTTGCGAGGCCGCTGAGCTAGCGAAAATTTTTGGTATTTGGGGAGTTCAGGAATTAAGTTAAGCCTAGAGTTGTGGGTTTTGCTCCAATTTCGAATCTCAACCGGAAGGTTTTATAAAAATTAGGGTTTTGTTGGTAAACGAGTGAGTGGGATGTTTCTAGAATCTATATTGACCTGCAACAAAAAAATATGTTCTAGTTCGAGGATACTTCTTTTGTTTTCCCTGGCTGTAGTTCTCGCCTGGTTGCTCTAATGACTAAATTTGCATCTGATATGATTGTAGTCTGAAGAGGACTTGCAACTAAAGCAGAACCTGGAGCTTTATGTCGAAAGGGTTCAGGATCCTAATCCAGAGTTGCAGAAGGCTGCTCTTGAGAGCATGAGGTTACTTCTGAATCTCACAACTTTACCTTGCGCTACAAGGGCATGGTTTAATTGTTTAACTTAAATCTGAACGTAGTACTAACTGATGAACTCGTAGAATTTTGTAGTTTAGCTGCTTTTAGCCCAGGTGCCACAGTTTGAATCATGCGCCGTCTCCGTTCATCATTGGTGGTGTGTTTTTATCTTTTGTTTTATAGGCAGGAAATTCGAGCTGCAACAAGCTCCATGACTTCAGTTCCTAAACCACTTAAGTTTCTTCGCCCCCATTATGGAACTCTGAAGGCATTTCACGAAAAAATGGCTGATTCTGATCTGAAGGTATGTTAAATTCATATTTCGTTGATAGCTTCTCTATTCATATTCCCTGGTTATGTTTTTATTGTGCCATGTTTTTTTTGTTTGCAGAAATACCTCGCAGACATACTCTCTGTCCTGGCGCTGACCATGTCTGCTGATGGTGAAAGGGTATGCATTCTTATTAGGGAAATAGGCTCATTCAAAACATGTTTTCTAGCTATTTGTTTTAATTTCAATGGGGATACATATTTTTTCTGCAGGTTTCTTCTTTATTTCCACATTTCCCCCTTTTTTGTTTGACATTTGACATGGATTGTTATTTAATGGTTCTTGGCGATTTGAAATTTGTTAGTTATTGAGGTAATAATTTTTATCAGTATATTGTCTGTGTTCTGTATTTATGTTTCACGTGCATCTCTTTCAGGAAAGCTTGAGATATAGGTTGATGGGATCAGAGGGTGACATTGGCTCATGGGGTCATGAGTATGTCAGAAATTTGGCCGGAGAGATCGCACAAGAGTATACGAAGCGTCAGGTTAGCAATCTACATATCTATTTGGTTTTTGGCCAATGGCCATGTAATTTTCGTAGTATTTTTGTTTGCGTTCTCTGCGTGTCATGTCAAGTTATTTTCATGTTTTTCTTTCTAAAGTTTAATGTACTAAGAGTTATACTATTTTGCCTATTTTCCACTGGGAAAGACTGCTGATATATGGTTATCTACCCTTCGTTCCACATTTGTCATTTCAGAGCGATGAAGCCCCTATTGATGATTTAATGGAGCTTGTGCAGCAAATTGTTGCTTTCCACATGAAAGTGAGATCCTACGCATGTTATCTTTATCTTCCTTTGCTTCATGTTTTGTACATGAGTATGAGTAGATTTCAATTTCTCTTTTAGTTTAGAAACGTTTGTTTTGTAGATTCGCGACTAGTCCCCCATTGTTTTTTTTTGCTAAAGGATTTATTTTTGTTTTTTGCAGCATAATGCAGAAACTGAAGCTGTTGACCTTTTGATGGATGTTGAAGACCTTGATCTCTTGCTTGAGCATGTTGACAGCACAAATTTCAAGAGAACATGCCTTTATCTCACTAGTGCTGCAAAGTAATTTCCTATGACTGATTCTACAAATAAATTATAAAACTGTTCTGGTAAAAAATTGAGATTCATTTCTCCATTCTGCCTTGAAAGTGGCGCTTCACTGCTGGGGTTTTGGATCACGTCTTATGTAGTGCTGAAGCGTTTATTTGATATGCTTGGTTTTATTGTCTAGTCTATTGTAGCTTCATTTGGCCTCTTGTCTTTGGTTTTTCAGATATCTCCCAGGCCCAGACGACATGTTGGTTCTAGATATTGCTTACATGATCTACATGAAGTTTGAAGAATACCCAAACGCCTTGCAGATTGCATTGTTTCTAGATAACATGCAGGTGTGGCCTCTATTCTTGTATGACAATGATATCCTTTTCATTATTGCTTTCTGAATCTTGGGCCGGCTGGACATTATCTTCTATGATCAAGGGAATTTTCTGATGCCAATATTTCTTTGTTACAGTATGTGAAGCAAGTGTTTACCTCATGTAGTGATTTGCTGAGAAAGAAGCAGTTCTGCTACATGATTGCCCGGCATGTGAGTCGTAACATATGTCTATCTTACTAATTTTTTCTTCTATTCTTTCAGCTGTAATTATTTTGTGCTTTTTGGATAAGTACTCCTTCCAGAGCTCTAGTAATTTGCCTACTCATACTTGTTGACATTATGTTTCATTATTACATAGCTACGGTTGACAAAGATATGGTTGGTAGTTTGTCAAGCATGATCCTGAAGGGTGTGTTGCTTATGTCAGCTTAAAGAAGTTGAACCTAGTTCTGGTTGTCCTCTTGTTTTGACATAGTGTTAGCAAGAGAAATGCTTCATTCATTAGTCACATCTTGGCCTCTTCGGTTCTGATATGGTCCTACACGCATCAACTGCTACATCATCTTTGCTCAAGATTGCAATTATGTAGATGTGTTGCTTGCTGATGTAATTATGGTTTCTCTTTTCTCTTGCAGGGTATCACTTTTGAACTTGATGATGAGATGGTTGCTGATGATGATGACAGAGAAACCCTTCAGGATATTGTTAACAACACAAAATTGAGTGAAGGATATCTAACTCTTGCACGGGATATTGAGGTCATGGAGGCCAAAACGCCCGAAGACATCTATAAGGTCTTCTAGTTTTTTGTGGATAAACTGTCTACTTCTGGTATATTTGGTTACCAATTATGTTTTGTTGGTTATTGACCTGTGCACGTGAATTTTGTAGGCTCATTTGCTTGATGGCAGGGCTAGTACCGGGGCGAGTGTGGATTCTGCCAGACAGAATTTGGCTGCAACCTTTGTGAATGCATTTGTAAATGCCGGTTTTGGACAAGTATGATGACAAATTTATTTTTGTTGCAGAATGGCTGTGGTATTTCTGCTGTTGTCTTGATATATTTCCTTATTGCAGGATAAATTAATGACAGTACCCTCAGATTCAGGCAGTGGCTCTTCTGGAAACTGGCTCTTCAAAAATAAAGAGCATGGCAAGATCAGTGCTGCTGCTAGTTTGGTATGCTATTTGTTTATAGATGGAGTATTCAGCTGTCACACTGCAAAGAAAAGATTTGTCACTTGACCTCCTTGATTATAAATGTTAGGGTATGATTCTGCTGTGGGATGTGGACTCTGGACTTGCTCAAATTGATAAATATTTCCATAGTAATGACAATCACGTCATTGCTGGAGCATTGCTGGGAGTTGGTGTTGTTAATTGTGGCATCAAGAATGATTGTGATCCTGTGAGTTGATATCTTCGTTTAATTTATTGGAACTCTGCTCATTGTTTGGCTGCCATCCCCCTTTCTCACTCAGCTTTATTCTCAGGCATTGGCTCTTCTTAGTGACTACTTGGACAAGGAGGATCCATCTATCCGAATAGGTGCTATCATGGGTCTCGGAATCGCATACGCTGGTTCACAGAATGAACAGGTGAATTACATGTTACCTCATGCTGATTTGGATCCAAAGGGAAGCTATTGGGTTATGGATCATGTATTTATTGTACGGTACCATGTTGAATATGTGATGTGATTTTCATGGTTATTAATTTGTTTGCTGTGTTGGCAGTTAAGAGGCAGATTGTCTTTGATGCTGAATGAAGCAAAAGCTACTCTCGATGTTATTTGTTTTGCTGCACTTTCTTTGGGTATGATATTTGTTGGTTCCTGCAATGAAGAAGTTGCACAGTCTATTATCTTTGCTTTGATGGATCGGAGTGAGGCAGAATTGGGTGAAGCCGTTACTCGTTTCTTGCCTCTTGGGCTTGGACTTTTGTACCTTGGCAAACAGGTAGACAATGTGCTAATATAACTGCACTTAAGATTTCAACTATTGGGAACAGTACCGGATCATTATTCACCTTGGTGATGAATGTGAATTCATTCTAATGTGTTCCAGGAAAGTGTGGAGGCTACAGCAGAAGTTTCAAAGACATTCAACGAGAAGATTAGAAAATACTGTGATTTGACGCTTCTGTCTTGTGCATATGCTGGGACGGGGAACGTCCTTAAGGTATATAGTCATGGATATTACATTACTCGTTACTTTTTTGGTTCAATCTGCTGACTTTGTGTATTCATGCAGGTTCAAGACCTTCTGGGGCAGTGTGGAGAGCATCTTGAGAAAGGCGAAATTCACCAGGGTCCAGCTGTACTTGGACTTGCCATGGTTGCTATGTCTGAAGAATTAGGTCTTGAAATGGAGATTCGCTCTTTGGAGCGGGTGCTGCAGTATGGAGAACCGAACATTCGCCGGGCTGTGCCTTTGGCTCTTGGTCTCCTGTGTATATCAAACCCGAAAGTAAAGATTTTGCCACATCATGTTTCATGTCATGAGGTTTGGAATGTTTCTGGTGGCTTGAAAGAGCAGTGCAGGTTGTTTGATATTTTCTCATTATTCTAGGTGACTGTGATGGACACATTGAGTCGGCTTAGCCATGACACGGATTCTGAAGTTGCCATGGTGAGATTTTGATTTTACTTCACAATCTCTCTCTACTAATAAGTTGTATAAGTTGACTTTTTTTTCTCAAAAAAAAAATCTGAATTCTACAGGCTGCAATCATTTCCCTGGGACTGATTGGTGCTGGAACTAACAATGCACGGATAGCTGGCATGCTTCGGAACCTTTCCAGCTATTATTACAAGGATGCCAGCCTCCTCTTCTGTGTAATCAGCTTTTTGATTTCCTGCAAAAATTTACATTTTCTGTCGACATGTTTGTACTCATTTCATGACCCATTCTGCAGGTGCGTATCGCTCAAGGCCTGGTGCATTTGGGGAAGGGTTTGTTGACTCTGAGCCCGTTCCACTCTGAGCGTTTATTGCTATCACCGTAAGTTGAACAATTTGTTTTAGAACATACTACTTATAGCTTGATTTCAAAACTTAAAGCATATGACTCATTGCTTCTGCTTCCTGCCCAGAACCGCACTTGCTGGTATTGTAACATTCTTGCACGCGTGCTTGGACATGAAATCCATCATACTCGGGAAATACCATTATGTGCTGTACTTCCTTGTACTGGCAATGCAGGTGAGATGCAAATTGAGTAATTAAGTCAGTTGGTTCCCGTTTCTTTCTTTTACTAGTCTCTGTGGCGTGACTGATTGTTATTATATATATATATATATATATATATATATATATATGTAGCCGAGGATGATGATGACAGTGGACAAGGATCTGAAGCCCATCTCAGTTCCGGTGCGTGTGGGACAAGCCGTGGATGTGGTGGGACAGGCGGGGCGACCCAAGACCATTACCGGATTCCAGACACACTCGACTCCTGTCCTCCTGGCCGCTGGCGAGAGAGCTGAACTGGCGACTGAGAAGTATGCTCTTTTTTTTCCCCTTATTTTAAACTAGTCTAAAAAGGACGGGGGACATAACAAACGTGGTCGGATGGAACAGGTACATTCCACTGTCGCCCATACTGGAAGGGTTCATAATTTTGAATGAGAACCCTGACTACAGAGAGGAGTGAAGACTGAAAGAACAGCAAGTAGCTGATGGGAGTGAGCCCTCTTCCCCTGTTGTCTCCGATGTTTTCCTAGTTAAAGAAAGGGGGTGAATGTGGTGAGGGTGCTGGAGCTTTTGTTGTTATGTTTGTTTGTTTTAGGAGAAGAATTTTTTTACATGACTTGAATTATTATCGTTATGGTTATTTGGGAATATTCTTAAATGGGTATTTCGAGAACAAAGGCAATACTTACACCCACCCAAGGATTGAAGCTCCTTCCACACTCACAGTCGCAGACAGGCACCGAGTGTCTGAAGTCGTTTTGATGGTTTTGAGTGAAGTGACTTTCCTCTGAATAAAACATGGCAGTGAACTGTCCCCCCTCAAGATGGGTGCAATAAATACAGTCATCTACCTATGAGAGACTTAAATTCTCCATTTCCATCGAAGCCAAAACAATGGATAAATGCATCTTGACGTCTTCTTCTTTTTTTTTTTAATACAATAAATAAATGCATTTTGACAGCTTCTTCCTTTCTGGGTATGTTTTTATACAACAGATATATGCATTTTGACACGTTCCTTCTTTTTTTTTATAAAACTTGAAAAGATGGCTTCTTCATGATTTGTACAAAACACGAGTTTAATGGCCGGGGCCTCTGGGGCTTGGTCCAGAAGACAAACTGTCGAACCGCCACCACCCCATTCTCTCCTTCTCCTTCCCCAGCTCCTCCGGCTGCATCCTGGCCCACACCATCGACAAACCCACCACCATCATCACCACCACCACCATAATCACCCTTCCTAACCTCATTCCTCCTCCTTTGCACCCCCCCTCCCCCAAAAAAAAAAAGAAGAAAAAGGCAATGCCTTGAGAAACAAGATCCTCTCGAATGAGAAATAGATTATGGGCTTTTCATATATATATATAGAGAGAGAGAGAGAGGTGGATGTGTGAGGCGACGAGGTGGTAATCGCTTCATCTGTGCATTGGATCTTATTAGTTAGCGTATTTTGACCAAGTTTTGTTTCAATGGAACCGGTCACACGCCAACTCTCTCTGTTTTACCCTTCCATGTGTGTGTATGCATGTTTCTTTTTTTGTTTTTTTGTATTTTAGGGCTTAAATGGTTACACAATATGTACTTGTGTGAGTGAAAAAAAAAAGAAGAGAAAATCGTTTTGATTGGTCATCGATGTTTATGCGTATCATTTCCTTCAAGGTTCTGCACAATTTACATGAAAATTGCTCATATAAATAAATAATCAGATTTTTTATCCACGTGTATATTAGTTTGTATGGGTTTATATACACTCGACATAGTCATATACATGCACAGTTTTTTTATATAAAAAAAATTAGGTTTCTTTCTCTGTATAGACGTGAGATTACTTGGACTATAGATGGTGATATGATGAGGTGTCTCTTTGTCACTTTTTGGATCGTTGGGCAAAGTTAGTTTTCGGTCATTTTACCACACCATCAACTCTTCTTTTTTTTCTCTTTCTAAAATTAAATTATTTAATATATAAGTCCAGTTTGATTGCGCCATTTTGACATAAAAGCCCAAATATAAAACGAGTCATTGAATATACAAAAGTCGGAGCCTATTATTAGGTGCAAAACAACTACAAGAAGGCCTTTAATGGGCTGCTATCTCTATCCTTCCTATTCGGCCTGTATAGGCCCAACTCTTCTTATTCTTCTCCCTCTTCCCAAAACCCCCAACCTCCGAGGGTTTTTCTCTGCCATTAGTCTCTCTCTCTCTCTCTCTCTCTCTCTCTCTCTCGATTGCATTCGATTTTCCGCGGAGGAGATGAAGGTTAAGGTGATTTCTCGTTCGGTTGATGAATTCACTCGAGAACGAAGTCAGGATCTTCAGGTGTTTTATTTTCAACTATTCTCAGTTTCATTTGTTAGGGTTTCAGGATCAGTTCCCCTCTCTTTTTCTCTTATTGAGCTTAACGGGTTTTCCAACTCTCATTATCATAGAGAGTTTTTCGCAACTTCGATCCCAGTCTTCGACCAATGGAGAAGGCAGTGGAATATCAGAGAGCTCTTACCGCTGCCAAATTGGACAAGGTATCGCGATTTCGCGCTGTTAAATTTAGTTTTGGTGTTACTAAATTTTGATTTTTTGTTTTTGTGCGGCTTTTAGCTCTGGTATTTTCAATGGGGTTTTGGGCAATTCTTCTAATTTGCCTCTACTTTTTTTCGCTTGTTAGATATTTGCAAGGCCGTTCATCGGGGCCATGGATGGGCATCGTGATGGAGTCTCCTGTATGGCGAAGAACCCGAATCATCTAAAGGGAATTTTCTCTGGTTCTATGGATGGAGGTAAATTTGTTAGCTCATCTCTCTCCCCGCCACACACACTCATTCTCTCTTTTTGGAACTTTTTCTGTATGTGAAGCTTGGTTAGGGCATCCTATATGGGAAGAAGCTTTTGGTAGATGATCAATTGCTAATGTTGGAAATTTGTTTAGTGATTCATGGTCGATACTTTGGTTCCTGATTGTATTAGAAGCCTTGGAGCGTAGGGTCGAAATTTAAACATTCAATCTTCTGTTTGTTTCCAGTTGGATCGTTTTCACTATTCATTATGCTAAGTTGGTTGCCTGTAAGTGTTACTGATGCTGATTCTTTTCTTTATTGCAGATATTCGCCTTTGGGATATTGCTTCAAGGTTAGTATCGTTTCAACTTGACAGGCGAATTTCCTTCATCACCTGAAGTTTATTTCAATTCTCCCATTAAAAACAAACCTAGTATGCCATTTTCAATGGAGCTAAGTTATGCTCTTTGATTATTATCTTTTGGAATTGGTAACCGGCAGGCGCACGGTTTGTCAGTTTCCTGGTCACCAAGGGGCTGTGCGTGGGCTTACAGCATCAACAGATGGTCGTGTCTTGGTATCATGTGGAACCGATAGCATGTAGGACATAATCTGATTTTTCTCTTCCAGATCAAGTTCACATTTTATGAAATTAAGATGAAATGTAACTTTCGTGCAGTGTTCGTTTATGGAATGTTCCGCTTCCTACCCTGGCGGATTCTTACGATTCATCTGAGAATTATGTTGAGGTATTTATGTTACAACTGTCCTACTTTTTGAAATCGATCTCTGTTATATAATGCTATTCCAACCTAATTACGCCTGTTATTTTTCAGCCATCTGCTGTTTACGTCTGGAAGAATGCCTTCTGGTAGGATTATTTTGTCTTCACCCAACTTCTCATGTTATCATTCTTTTGGTTTTATCCTCTCTACCGTGATCCCTAGTATAAAAATGCCAAGTAGTTTTTCAACTTGTGATTATGTATTCACTATTCAGGGTGTTGAATCTTTAGTTAATGCTATGTTTTTACTTTTTCTAGTGCCGTCGATCATCAATGGGAAGGTGAGCTTTTTGCTACTGCTGGAGCTCAAGTAGACATATGGAACCATAATAGGTACTCTGCCTTCTGCTTGAAGAAACTCATGTTCTTTTCTTCTAATTTGATCATCTCATATAGTTTCTTTTGTGGTTAGGTCCCAGCCAGTTCACAGCTTCCAGTGGGGAACAGACTCTGTAATCTCTGTACGATTTAATCCCGGAGAGTCTGATATTTTAGCAGCATCTGCTAGGTGTGTAATCTGCTTGCTTCCAACTCGTAGATGTTACTTAGCCGATTGAGCTACCTTTCTTTAACGCTACAAGAGAATTTTTTTTCCTTGTTTCAGTGACCGTAGTATAACGATTTATGATCTCCGTATGTCTTCCCCAGCAAGGAAAGTTATCATGATGGTATGGCCTTAAACTCTTTCATCCCGTTTTGTCATCTGTTTTTGTTTTTCTTTTGCAGTGGAATGGCAGTATTGGTCTGAAATTGTATCTTTTGACAGACAAAAACCAATTCAATCGCTTGGAACCCAATGGAGCCAATGAACTTCACTGCTGTAAGTGTTAGCAGTAAAGTGGAATATCCTCAGATGGTTTAAATTTCGGAAAAAATAGATAATCTGCTTACTTTTCTCATTTTATAATAAATCCTGTGATGAAAATGAACAGGCTAATGAAGATGGCAATTGCTATAGCTTTGATGGTAGAAAGTTGGATGAATCCAAGTGTGTGCACAGAGATCATGTTTCTGCCGTGTAAGAACAATTTAAGTCTGGCACCATTTCTCAACAGTATAGTATACTACCATAACATAATGCGGAACTTCTGATTTTCCAGAATGGATATTGATTTTTCGCCAACTGGCCGGGAATTTGTGACGGGTTCTTATGATCGGTCCGTGAGAATCTTCCCATACAATGGGGGACACAGTCGAGAAATCTACCATACAAAGAGGATGCAAAGGTAAAAAAAAAAACTAGCGCAAAACTTCTACCAACCTTTACTTGGTACTGATTCCTGATTATTGGTTAGTTTTGTTTGAGTTTATGTTTGCCGTTTTGATGCTTTTTTTCTTGTAGGGTATTCTGTGTCAAGTTCAGCTATGATGCTACGTATGTAATATCAGGCAGCGATGACACAAACCTGAGGCTTTGGAAGGCCAAAGCCTCCGAGCAACTCGGTGTTGTAAGAACCTCTCTCCTTGCTCTCTTGCTCATAGAAATCTATATTCTTGGGGAACAGGAGAACGGGACCTAACCTTGTAACGTGTAGTGACTGAATCTTGTGACCAAAAAGCTAAAGAAAAAACTACTTTTTTTTTTTGGGTTCTGGGGGTGTGTTTCTGCAGATTCTTCCAAGAGAACAGAAGAAGCACGAGTATCATGAGGCTCTCAAGAATCGCTACAGGCACCTCTCTGAGGTCAAGCGAATTGTGAGGTAAGGTCGAAGAAAATGTTTTCGTTTTTTTAACAAGCCAGCTGAATCTGGAATTGAATGTCTTTTTTTTTTTCTGGTATTTAAAAAAAAACAGGCACAGGCATTTGCCGAAACCAATATACAAAGCGATAGGGCTGATAAGGACAATGAACGAAGCGAAGAAGAGGAAAGAGGCGAGAAGGAAGGCACACAGCGCCCCTGGAAGCGTCGTAACCCGACCACTGCGCAAAAGAAGGATCATCAAAGAAGTCGACTGACCTTTCTCTGTCTTCTTGGCGTTTCTTGATCTCTCGTGTTGTAGTCCTCTCTCGCGGTGGTGGTGTATTACGCGATATTTTATCCTGTCTTGTACGAGGGTTCTCGCTTCTACTATGGACATTCTTTTTTCCAAGAGATTCTGTATACAGCGGATCAAATCAATGAGCATTGCATCCCGGCTCGGCTTGGAATTTTGTAAATTATTCTTGGGAAAAATTAGTAATTTATGACATAAATATCCAGTGAACATTGACCAAATGAGCACCCCATTATTATCCAAATTTGCTTTAAAAAATTGTTTCTACGTCATCAACTAAAGACGGAGACCGGGTCCATCGAGGCCATTAATCTTTTTTAAGTACAGATAACATTGTTTATCTACACATATACATACATACACACATGCGTACATACATGAATATATATACACACACACGTGTGTGAAATGGCGTGATGAGTTCGAGTATATACGAAACATTCAGGAGTGACAAAAAAAAAGGGATTGGAACAAACAAGTGTGAGCAGAAATAGGATATGATATGTGATTAGAAAATTGGATGGTATAGAGTTTGTAAACGAAAACATATATCGAGATAATTGGTCATATCTTATCTCTGTTACTTCATCGTATGCAAAATAAATACTGGTATCTGAATATTTTTTTTATAAAAAAAGCACGGCGTTTAATTAGCGTACTATCGCTTATCAGTAATTCTTCGATAAAAACTTTTGAGTAGTTTAATAAAAAAACTATATAACTTATATTCTTTCCATGTCCACTAATATAAGTTATATTGATTGTTACAGAAAACAAGTCATATAATAAAAAAATTGCGTATTATATTCCACCATGGTTTGGGGGCCATTAACATAGAACTTGACTTTATGAATATTTGTATACGATGAGGCACGAAAGAAGAATTAATTTTGTTTTAGATAACATACGCGTGTCCAGATCATCGAGTAAACTTTTAGTGTTTAAAAAAAAATATATAAACATTTTTTTATCCGATTAGTTTGTTACAGTCGGGAATTTCGTGGTACGGATGCAAATGGGTTTAAGACCTTTGGGAATTTGGGCCGGAGAGAGTCAATAGGCCCATGAATGTTTGATAGCGTCCTCCTCCCGAGGCTCAAGCAAGCAGAATCTCCCTTGTATTCCGTCGAAATCCAAACATTCCTTGACGGACGGCGTTCTGCCTCCGCCGCGGCCAGATCGATCTTCCGAGCGACGTTGGCTCGGGTCGCTTTAGATTCCGGCCGATTTTCCTCTCCATAGAAATCAGCTCGGTCAATATTTGGCGCCGCCTCTAGAAGATGCTCATTCATCCCCTCTCTCCGGTCAGTCCAATGAGCTTGAGTCTCCTTTCTGTTTTTTTTTTTATACTTTTGATTATATTTTCTCCGACTTGAATCGAATTCTGGGGATCACGAAGATCACATGTTTTGAGAGACGTTTTCGCATAGAGATTAATCAGAGAAAATGACCTGGAATCAGTCTCCAGCCGGAGACGCTTGGTTCCTAATGATCCACTGGGCATAAATCGATTCTCCAACCCTCAGGTTACTTACGTGGGCACAAATTTTGAGTAGCTTGTTGGCGCGTTCGCGAGACGGAAGAACTGGGTTCGGTTCGAACCGAGACGGCGGTAGCTACACAATGACGAAAATGGTGCCATAATGTTGTCTTTCCGACAATGTGAAGAAAAAAAAAAGAAGACCCACAAGCGTTGAAGAGGCGCGTGACGCGCGCCTTAAGAAAAGGAATTTCGGAAGCTTCGAACTTGCGCTTCGTTGAAGATCTTCTGTTTCGAGATCACTTACCATTGTCGGAGTTCGGTCGCACGTAAACCCCTTTCCTCTTGCAAATGAAATTTGATTACTATTATTCACTTTTGTTTCTCTAAGATCGAAACAATCGAAATCGGAGCTCTGAAATTTTCTGGGTCTGGGCCGAATTGTATTCGTTTCTGGAAAAGGACAGGACTTTGTGTTCGACTTCATCTTAGATATGTTTCGTGGTGATTGATTTCCGCGGGAGTCAAACCAAACTTCATTGAACAGTTATTGCAATCCCAATCCTGTGAGGTCTTCGGTTCTAGATTCCCATCTTTGGTTTGAAGGGCCCAGTGATTGATGTTTGATGATTCACTGACATCTGAGTTCTGTGGAAGTTTCAGATGATAGCTTCTGTTTTGTTGGAATCTTGGTCGTGTCACTAATGGCTTTGGTGATTGTATTCAATGTATTGCAGACATTTTAGGCGAAGAGCTTGTAATTGTACTGCCAAGATGAGTGCGAATCGAGCCAAGGATTTGGGGCTTCCATTGATGAATCTCGTTAGGTTTAGAGGAATACCAATCTTGCAGCAGCTCCATCTGGAAGAACAGCTCCTCAGAACATTCTCTGGTAATTGGTGCATCATAAACGATGGAACGAATGTCCCTACAGTTGTCATGGGAGTGTCGGGGTAAGATCAGTTGCATTACATCTCATTGTTTTTCTTCGCGTTTTCCCGCAAAAGATATTATCTTGAGATGTGGGTATGTTATTCTGCATAGGAAGCCATCTGAACTTGTTGAGCTTGGATCTGTTATACGGGACCAGGTACCGGTTATTAAAAGGTTTAGCGGAGGTGGAACTGTGATAGTTGACAAGGATACCGTGTTTGTCAGTTTGATTTGCAACAAAGATGATGTTCCTGGTGTCCAGCCTTATCCTCGTTCTGTCATGCTAAGAATACATCTCAGGAAGTGGACCTGAAAAATCTTGAGGTAACCCTCATTTGAGGGGATTGGCGGCTTCCAACTACGCGAGAACGGTTTGTGAACTCTTTTACACGTTTTCTACTTTCTATCGTTTCCTTAATGCCCCCATGGAAGGTTTTCATTTCATCTTTTTCCGTTTCCGGGAGTTTCAGATTATGTTTTTGGAGACCACAAATTCGGCGGAAATGCTCAGTCGATTACCAGAGATAGATGGATTCACCACACATCGTTTCTATGGGACTACAGTGCTGAAAACATGGCTTACCTCAAGCTGCCTTCGAAAGCGCCCCAGTACCGGTTGGTAAGGCCTCGATTTCCTTCATTCCTTTCATAAAAACGTGTTACAAATTAGACGCATAAAACGTTCTACTTGTACAGAACTTGATAATTTCTGCAAAGTTCCACTTTTTTTTTACTTCTTAATGGTGTGTAAATATATACTGCAGGAAAGAGATCACATGGATTTTGTGTGTAGAATGAAGGATTATATGGAAAGATCGGTTTTTATAGACAGAACCATTAAGGCGGTGGGCGCACATTTCACGTTGAAGCAAGTGGACATGGAAGAGATTGGTTCACATGCGGAAGGAGAATATACAGAGATGACGAGGCTCCTGACGATGCAGGAACTCGAGCAAGCAATGGAAGGCGCAAGCCAGATTGAGAGTATTGCTCATGCCAGTTAAGTTTCCCGACACACTTCTCCTAGGATTCAGTTTCTGGCATGCCTTACTTTAATTGTCACAGTTCTTTCCAAACTAGAACAGAAATTCCAAAAACATAGCAGCATTGATTACAAATAATAAAAAAACAATTATATACGCATGCTGTCATGTTGTATATGTGGATTATGTATGTGTTTATGTATGTAGCCGTCGAGCCCGTATCCAAGACTGTTTGATGATTTTGACGTGTTATAATTTCGGGGAAAGCCATAAGTAACGATATGGTAACTTTATCAGATATAACATAGTGTTTCTATGGGGCTAAAGATGTAATTTGTGTTGATTCGTAATGTATATATACAGAAAACAGAGAGAAGCTGAATAACAGTTTTCATTTTCTCCAACTACTCTCTCTCTCCAGTGACTTTCTCTCTCTTGGCGATTCATGTTTGTTTCTTCTCCGATATCGTCTGATATGGTATCAGAGCGGAATCTTGTTTTTCGCTTCGTTTTTCCTGTTCATTTTCTCTGATTTTTTCTCGTTTCATCGAGTGTTCTTCGTTAATTCTTCTTGGATCTTGAAGATTTGTTCAAGATATCTGCAACAATGGCGACGACGGATGCTGATCTTACCGATGAGGTAGATGTTCCTGTTCATAGCCATTATTATCTTGGATCTAGTGATCACACGAATGTGGTTCTTGTCTCGGATCGACTCAATGGTCCGGAAGATTACAGTTCTTGGTATCAATCCATCATGTTGGCTCTTGAAGGCCGAAATAAACTGTGTTTCATCGATGGAACTCTTCCGAAACCACCTGATAATCATCCTGATAAAAGGTTATGGTCTCGGAATAATGCTGTGGTCAAATCTTGGCTAATGCACTCTGTTTCTAAAACGATTGCTTCGAGTTTGATGTACATTCCGACTGCAAAAGGAGCTTGGGAGAATTTGGAAACAAGATTCAAGCAAAATAATGTTCCCAGGCGCTACAGTATCAAACAGCGTCTGCGTTCTCTAAATCAAGGTTCTTCCACTGTTTCTGTTTACTATACCAAATTGATGACTCTTTGGGAAGAATTGAAGGTTGTTCGTGTCAATCCTCATTGTGAATGTGGCAAGTGTTCATGTCAGTTGAATCAGAAGTGGAATGAGTTACATGAGGAAGACTTTGTGATTGAATTTCTGTTTGGGTTGAATGAGTCTTATGAAGGCATTCGTGGACAAGTCATTATGATGGATCCTTTACCGAATCTGGAAAGGACTTACAATTTAATCACGCAACATGAACAACAACGATTGATCAAGCCTTCTGTATCGAATGAAGCACATGTTTTTCAGACTATTTCAGTCCCTGAAAACGTTGTAGCAGCAACTCCTACTAACAATTTCAGACAGAAACAGAGACCATTATGCACGCATTGTGGATTGTATGGGCATACCATACACAAATGCTATAAACTTCATGGTTATCCTCCTGGATTTAAACCAACTGGCCAGAATTCAGCTCCGAGAAACTTTCAGAACAACCAAGTTCCAACACAGTCAATTCAGAGACCTCCTCAGAGTTCTGGATTTCGTCAACAGCTTCAGGCTAAAGATGTAATTGCTTCTATGCATACCACATATGTTGATAATTTCAAGGAAAAGTCACCTTCGGCAGTACCAGACTTGACTCCTGAGCAACTGCAACAGATATATACACACTTTCAAGATCAGATGAAGTTTGTTAATGCGACAATTACTGTGGATGGAGCACCAGATTCTTCTCCTCTGGTTTCTGGTATGGCTTTCATTCCCAATTTTGGAACTTGGATAGTGGATTCTGGAGCATCCACACACGTTTGTTCGAATAGGGATTTATTCTATGATCTGAAAACTGTTGCTCCAATCATGGTGACTTTGCCTAACAAACAACACATTACTATTACTCAGTCTGGAACAGTTATCATCAACCCTTATCTTACCCTATCAAACGTTCTGTTTGTACCCTCTTTTGCATTTAATCTTTTGAGTGTCTCTTCTTTACTCAAAGATAATGCTTACTCAGTGTCGTTTACATCAAATTCCTGTTGCATTCAGGTGCATACTCAGGATTGGATGATTGGGAAAGCTGATCTTCAGCAGAACCTATACATCCTCGACACTTCTTTTTTGCCCACACCTCCTATATCCTACTGTCAAGCTTTCATGGCAGATACCACTATATGGCACCAAAGACTGGGCCACCCTTCTTTCAGCAGAATAAAGACCCTCTCTCGCGAGCTATCACTTGCTAAATGTTCAGAATTGACCCACTGTCAGACTTGTCATTTAGCAAAACAGAAACATTTGCCTTTTCCTTTTAACAACCATGTATCAGATAACCCATTTGATCTACTTCATTTGGACATTTGGGGTCCTTTTTCAGTCTCATCTGTAGAAGGATTTCGATACTTTCTTACCATAGTTGATGACTGTTCTAGAGCTGTATGGATATATTTTCTGGTAAATAAAAGTGATGTGTTGACTCTATTTCCAGTCTTTGTTACCATGATTGAAACACAGTATAAGACACGAATAAAAGCTATTCGATCGGACAATGCAAATGAGTTGAAATTTGCAGATTTATGTCGAGACAGAGGAATGCTGCACTATTATTCTTGTGTAAGCACACCACAACAGAACTCTGTCGTCGAAAGGAAGCATCAACATATCTTAAATGTGGCGAGATCGTTGCTTCATCAGTCTAATCTTCCTTTAGTCTACTGGACAGACTGTATCAGAACTGCTGTCTATTTGATAAATCGAATTCCAAGTCCTTTGCTGAATCAGAAAACGCCATATGAAGTTTTGCAAGGTACCTTGCCTTCTTATTCCCATTTACGTGTGTTTGGTTGCCTGTGTTATGGTAGTACTTTGGATAAGAACAGACACAAGTTTGCAGCTAGAGCTAGATCGGCAGTATTTCTTGGATACCCTGCTGGGTATAAAGGATACAAGTTGTTGGATTTGGAATCCAATGAAATATACATTTCGAGGAATGTTCAGTTTCATGAAACCATATTTCCATTTACCAAAGACCAAAATGAACCAAGTCCTTCCTCAAACGTTATTTTCCCCTCTTCCATTTTACCTTTACCAATACCAACACCACCAGATATGCCATCTCAGCCTTATACTGATCCAAATCCACCACCTGTTCAATCAAACCAACCTTCTTTCGAACCATTACAATCAGATATATCTGAACCACAACCTACATGTCCTAGTCACTTGACCCAAAGACCCAGACGCTTGGTAAAGAGACCACATCATTTGGATGAATATCACTGCTATAATACCCAGCATTCTGTTTCTACCGAGCCATTTACAACACCCTACCCTATGTCATCTTTTCTGACATATGACCATTTATCTCCACAATATAAGCAGTACACTTTAAACCTCAATCATGAAACTGAACCTCGGAATTTTAGAGAGGCTGTCAAATCTGTTCAGTGGCAACAAGCTATGAATGAAGAACTTTCTGCCTTAATACGAAACAACACTTGGTCGATTGTTTCTTTACCTGAATCACAGAATTCAGTGGGTTGTAAGTGGGTATACAAGATTAAACGGAAAGCTGATGGCAGTATAGACAGATATAAAGCAAGATTAGTTGCAAAGGGATTCACACAACAAGAGGGTGTTGATTACATTGATACATTCTCTCCGGTTGCGAAGTTAGTGACTGTCAAGGTCTTATTGGCATTGGCAGCAACTCAAAACTGGAGTTTAACGCAGATGGACGTTACTAATGCGTTCCTTCATGGTGATCTTGAGGAAGATATATATATGAACTTGCCGCAAGGTTTCACTTTGGCTTCAAATGCAGAGCTTCCTCCGAGACCTGTTTGCAAACTTCAGAAATCTTTGTATGGCCTGAAACAAGCATCGCGACAGTGGTACCAGAAATTTTCTACAGTCTTGTTGAATGCTGGCTTTCGACAATCTCAATCAGATCATTCTTTGTTTGTAAAGAAGTCTGGTCCATCTTTCTTGGCATTGCTGGTGTATGTTGATGATATCGTCATTGCTAGCAATGATGATATTGCTGTTGAAGGTCTGAAGAAACTCTTGCAACAGAACTTCAATATCAAAGATCTCGGTCCACTAAAGTTCTTTTTAGGACTCGAGATTGCAAGGTCTGCAAAAGGAATATCAATCAGTCAACGAAAGTATTGTCTCGATTTATTGTCAGATGCTGGATATTCTGGTTGTAAGCCGATTTCAGTGCCAATGGATCCAAATAATCATTTGAGTCTGAAACAGGGCACTTTATTGACAGAACCAACAGTCTATCGAGCTCTAGTTGGAAAGCTGCTATATTTGACAATAACTAGACCTGATATTACATTCTCGGTTCACAAACTTAGTCAGTTACTATCAGCTCCGACGGATGATCACTTGAATGCCGCTTATCGCGTTCTGAGATATCTCAAGAATGATCCTGGACAAGGGCTGTTCTTTTCAGCAAAGTCTGAGCTAAAGTTGAATGCATTTGCAGACTCCGACTGGGCAACTTGCCCTGATACAAGAAAATCAGTCACAGGATATTGCATTTTCTTGGGGGACTCTCTTGTTTCGTGGAAATCGAAGAAGCAGAGCACAGTTTCGAGGAGCAGTACTGAAGCTGAGTATCGGGCAATGGCGAATGTCACGTGTGAGATTGTATGGTTGCGAAATCTTCTCCAGGATCTTTGCATTCCGCTACAGTTGCCAGCAAATTTGTTCTGTGACAACAAATCAGCATTACACTTAGCCTCCAATGCGGTTTTTCATGAAAGAACCAAGCATATCGAGCTTGATTGCCATCTAGTTCGAGAGAAAATTCGTGATGGTCTAATCAAGACACTGCATATCTCTACTGACAAACAATTGGCAGATTGTTTGACAAAAGCTCTACAACCGGCTGTTTTTCAGTCTATGTTATCTCGGTTCCAAACTTCAAGTCTATTTCTTCCTTCTCGGAATCATAGACTTGAGGGGAGTGTATCAGATATAACATAGTGTTTCTATGGGGCTAAAGATGTAATTTGTGTTGATTCGTAATGTATATATACAGAAAACAGAGAGAAGCTGAATAACAGTTTTCATTTTCTCCAACTACTCTCTCTCTCCAGTGACTTTCTCTCTCTTGGCGATTCATGTTTGTTTCTTCTCCGATATCGTCTGATAAACTTTGTACATTACTTGTGCATATGCCTTTGCAAAAGATATTTTTCTAAGATATAATGCAGAATATGCTTAACCATTTATAAATGAGAATGCTTATACAACTCGGACGAAATACACACATGCATTCAAAAAAGGTATATATATATATATATATATATATATATATATAGAGAGAGAGAGAGAGAGAGAGAGAGAGAGATGGTGATTAGTTCACGCCATTTTCAGTGAGCTTCAAAGCTTGAAGGGAAGCTTCAGTCTCAGGCTTCTTGGCGTGACGTGAGCAGAAGCCCTTCAATCTCTCAAGGGCCTCCTCCAGCATCGGAGCTTCAACTCCTATCGTTATCCTCAACCAGTTCTTCAGTCCCAGAGCCTCTCCTGCACATTTTCTTCTCTTTTAATTCACTGTCCCAATTGTGTGGAAAGCTATGGAAAGCTAGCTAATAGGAACTACTGATAAATCTACTTCGACAGAAGAATCACTGATGCGACTAAGGCTCCTACCGCATCAAAACCCGACCCCATTCGGTATGTTCTATTACCAATTAACAAGGATTACCTGGTAGAAAGACGAGGTTTTCTTCCCTAGCCAGCTTCACACAGAAGTCGGTGTCGTCCTTTATGCCCTCCAGCATTGACAGATCGAGCTTCGTCTGCAATCAAGAACGGCACAGATTCACCAGTTAATGAAGTTCCGTACACTGAAAAAATCCATGATACTTGATGATCTCATCTGAGCCAACTCATTTTTCTTTCTTGGGTAAAAAGATGGGTACCAGGAGGTAAGTGCAGGACTCGGGTTTCTTGGGGCAGACAATGCAAGGAATGTCCTTTAGCCCGTCGCACACCAAGTCCACGTTCTGTTTCAGTATGGCGCTCTTCTTCGCGAAGAACTCTTTCTTTGTGTTCTCCAGTATCTGCGGAAGTGCCACCTGCTCAAACACACATTCATACCATCATCATTGATGAATGTACAGAAAGGACGAAAAAACCAAGAAACATGCTCAAAGACAGTGAACCACATACCTGAAGCATGGTGGAAGGATCCGGAGTTATGTCCAGATGCTGCTTGATAGACTGGACGACCTGTCGGAAGAAAAATTTCCAGAGGTGAATACAGAGAGATTACTACTTGTGACAGAAGCAAGAGAAGGGGAAAAGCTAACGGACCCCAGTGGTTTTGAAAACGCCCTCGGGGTCGTTCATTGCCATCCAACCGATTCTCCAGCCAGGAACCACCCATCCCTTGGATATGGCTCCAAGGGTTATCACTGGAGCAATGGACGAAAACTTCCCCATTGGGACAAAGGGGTTGTCTCCGTATATCGTCTGATCGTACACTTCATCGGAGATCACCATTATCCCGAGCTTCCGAGCTGTCTCGGCCACCTACAGGTTCATCATCATCATCAAAACATGAGTTTTATTTATGGTTTGTCTCGGTGATTCACCGGGAAGAAACAAAATTTACCTTCTTGAGGTGATCATGAGTGTAGACATTTCCACAAGGGTTGTTGGGATTGATAATGACAATGGCGACGGTGTTTTCATCGGCAACGGCTTCCACGCCTTCGAGATCGACTTCCCAGTCCTTTTCGGGAAGAAGATCAAACTTTCGGACCTCGAGGCCGCTGTAGACGGCACGAGCATCATAGTGAGGGAAGCTCGGCCTCGGGAGCAGAATGTTGGCATTCGGCCGGGCCAGGGCTTCTATCACTATCTCTATCCCTTGGTTACATCCCACCGTCAGGAATATGTCGTCCGGTGTCACCTTTATCGGAATGTCACGGTTCACATAATCAGCCACCGCCCTGATTTTACACGTTCCAAACACACACCATTCGTCAAAAGTCTTCGACTTACGCCAAAACCGTGGAACAAGGTTACATCAAGAAACACACAGCTCGAAAACTTACGCAAACCCATAAAGAAGATGACTGAAATTAAACTACTGGCGAACTTGGATCAGATAAACTCAAAAGCATGCATGGCTTTTTGATCAAATGAGCAAAACAGAGGTCTCTAGATGATTTAAAGTTCATATCCGGGAGAAAATTCGAAGGTGAGAGGATCTCAAACTGTTCTGGGTATCGAAATCGATCAGAATTACTTCAATATCAATTCAAACGAAGTCCATCACTCACTCGATTCAAGCGAGAAGAAACGAAGCGGAGAAAGAGGAATACCTGCGGGCGGGCAGAATTCCGGCGCCGGGGCCGTAGGAGTTGGCCTTGCCGGAGCGGAGAGCTTCGACGACGGCGTCCTCGGCCTCGATGGAGGTGCGGAAGCAAGGGTAGACGGAGGGGTCGCCATGGCCGAGGGGCAGAATGGTCTTTCCGAGGTCCTTGCTGCAGTTGTCGAAGAGCATGTAGATGACCCCTCTGAGCGTCACCGTCGCCGCTTTCTTCGCCCCGTCGCCGCCTCTGAACCTCCAAACGCTGCCGCTACCGTTGGCGTTCTCCATCTGCGTCTGCGTTTTGGGATTAGCTTCTTCGTCAGTTCGAAAAGAGGGAACGAAGAGGTTGGTGTGTTGGCTCATCGCTCGCGAGTCTCTTTATGTAGCCAAATAAAATATTCGGAAAACTCAAATTCAATTCAAAGGTAAGAGAAGACGGCGGTGTTCGCAAGTTATTTTTGGGAACCTTCGGCCTTATGGGGAATTGCTCTTGACTCTGAAAGAGAGAGAGTTACTTATAAAAACGTGAGAATCTCAATATGGGTGACACCTAATTCTAAAAATAACACGTCGGACTCTGTATTTATTCACCATAGTACATTTTAAAAAAAATAGTTTATATATAATATGATTCGGAATTTCGGATTTTATAATTTGTGAATATTGTAGTTGGTAATTTAAGATATCGATTATTTTAAGGAATTGAAAATGGACCATAGAGGAGGAATCAAGTAGCTAGCTGGGTAGGTGGATGCCCTCCTCCACAAAAATCACGTGCCGAAACATAAAATGTCTTATATATATACAAGAGTTGGGCCCAAATATCCATTAGGCCCATTAGTATGAGCCCATCACGATCCGCTATTGAAGCTCCCATAATATATTTTGATTTAAACTTGGTAGTTGTTTTAAAGGAAATGAACATTATTTACATCCGATGATTGACAATAAGTTTCTTGCAAATGATAAAATATGGATCACAACTTCAGATCTCCATCATATAAAAATAAAGGTCCACTTTCATAAACAAAAATTCAAGTGCAAATTATGAAAACCCATTAGACTACAAATCGTCATATAACTGATAAAATTTGTTTCTTTGTAATATCAATGGAGTTAGTTCACCAATCACCATCCCTCTTAACAAAGAGCATATTATCACTCAAATGACTAGCCCATATATTATTAACTCATGGAATATTTGAGACTATTTCTTTCAATGCGGTACAATTAATATGATAATGAGTAGATATACCTACACACATCAAAGTAACAAATATAACCTATTTATTTGTATTATGAAAACACATCAAATTACCTACGAATAAAATATTTCTTTAAGTTTGATTACCGTACCAACTCTAAAAACTTCGAAATTATTGAAACACGGTGAAGAACGATCGCGTATTCAAGAGAAGTTTTTCTGTATTAAGTGAATGTAAAGGAGTGTGAGATAAGAAAAATGTGTGTGAATGCTTATTTTTCTTTTCTATTTTTTTTTGTGTATTGTTGAGCCAATCCAATAACACTCTTTTTATATTAGAAAATATCGCAATAATGACAAAATTAATGAGAATTAGTATTAGATTTGATTTTCTAATTAACTTTGATTTGATTCGGTTCATAATATTGATCAGTACTAAATATTTGATTTTCTACAAATTTGATTGTGATTTGATTTTTTTATATCGATCAATAATAAAGACTCAATTTTTCTATCATTTATAAGGTTTTATTGAATATTTCACAGATCGAATTTTTTACGAACTATACCCGTTTTGAGTTTGATTGTCCAAACCCACCAATATAATCATGCACATATCATTCATTTTATTTTTAGTAAGAGGCACACAACACTCGGGGCAATCGATATCGATCGATGTAATTTAGGGTTGATGAATGCACCCATTTAAATATATATTATATATGCTTGTAGAAGGACAAATTGACCGGAATGTCTTTTGTAAACCAACCCTTCGTTGGCCTTTTATGCTGATTTGGTCACCAACCTCAATAATATTTTTTATTTCTAAATCTGCAATAAAAAAAAATTACTTTAAAAGTTAACAAAATACAAAAGGAAGAAAATTATATTAAAAAAATGAGTTGGAGAAGACTAACAAGCTAATAGAGATATATGACATAATTCACAATTTAATTTGTTTTAATTGATTTTATATCTACAATTTATTCCAATCATTTCCAATAAAGTTCAACTCTCCTAATCTATATTTATCTACTCATTTCAGCAAATACAACTCGATATTATTTAATTAAAATTGAAATGGAAAGGAGAGGGTTAAAAGGAGAGAAACAAAAGTATGGGGAAAGAAGAGGAAAAATGGTAAAAAAGAGGGGGTAGAGAGAGTAACCGAGAGCAGTCCATGGCGACGGAAACGGGGAAGCTAAGATGAAGAGAGCACATGGAGGGAAGGTCTGAGATGGAGCTCCCGAGGAACGGCAGATGCTGAGCTCTCCCCATTATCTCTATGCATTCACACACTCTCTCCACGTTATTCCCCTTTTCCTGCATTTTTTTTTTTAAAAATTAAAGAAAAAACATTTTCCTTTTCCTTTTTTTTTTGGTCTAGAAATCGACGCTTTGACTTCTCAAAAAAAAAAAAAAAAAAAAAAAACCCCGACTTCCGTGGCCTTGGCGAGCTTGTTCAGGCGCTTTACTCCTCCGCAACACTCCGGCGACGGTCGCCGGAATATTCCCTCTACGAAACCCATGCACGGTGCGAAGTTTTCAAACACTTCCTCACACAAATAATTCATTTCCACCTGATTGGATGCCGACACCATTGTTGCCATCGCCACGAGCCAAGTGATGATCGTACGAGGCATGCCGTCTTAAGCAGAAGAAGAAGAAATATTAGGGTTTTGATTAATGAGGCATAATCCGTCTCTTAATGATAATTAATTATATAGGTGGATCCCTCATTATGATATCTGTTTAGTTTCAAGAACACGTAGTCCTCGTGCTTCCGCTTCCTTCTGTTTCGGATCGTGATTATTTATATGATGGGCTCATGCAGTTTCCGTACACAGCTTATTTTCTCGCTCTTGTCTCTCTCTTAATTCCATTGTTTGTTGACGTAGTAAAATATAATAAATATGGGCTGTATCATTGTGCATAATCCGGCCCGTGAAAGCCTTAGGCCCATATCATGTATTTGTACGGGCTTATATAAATATAATTGGGCCCAAGGCCCAAAGGATGCGAAACTTGCAGTTTTTGAATTATTGGCGTTCCCTCGCTTCCTTGCTCCTCCTCCCCGTAGATTTGGTTTCTCCACTGTTTCTGAACTGAAACTGTGTCGCCGCGAAATTGGAAATGGCCTTTGGCTTCATAGACTCCGATGCTGCAGACGATCCGCTCTTTCCTTGGCTACTGTAATTTCTCCTGTTCCTCTCTATCCATCTATTATTTTCTCAAGGTTTTTGGAAAAGCCTGTGCTGGTTTTTGGGAGGTTTGGCATTCCACTGATGTTTTCTCCTCAAAATGTGGAAAACGTCCATAGTTTCTTATGATTTGGATTTGTTTTCTTAGGAAAATAAGGAAAGCGATGGAGGATATCTACTCCGGTAATGATTCCAGTAAAGATCTGGACGCCTTGCTGTATGAATGTATCTCCACTTTCAAGCACGATGCTCGCTACCAAAACGACGTCAGATTCCTTAAGATCTGGTTCCTCTACGTAATTCTCCAACCTTACTACTGCCCCCCCCCCCCCCCC